AAAGCAAAGCATCATATAAACTTATTTTCTAGGTAAACATCTAAAAGTAAGAGCTCTTTCAATTATTTAAAATTGCTTACAATCATATAACTAATAAAAAAAATTTCTATCATTCGTAAAAATTAGATGTCTCTAACATTACTTCTACTTTAACAATTTTATAAAGTCTCAAATACAGATACCAAATACTCAACTAGGACTCACTAGTTTTATATTTTAATATTTAGTGTTTAAAGGATTAAGAAAACTAATGCAAGATGGATCAAATATGAGAACTGGCAAATGAGACAAAAATAATAATTTTATGATTTAAATAATGCTTATTTCACCACAGTGAGTCTACCAAGAAGAAATAAAATGTGACTAGAGATGCCTATACAATCCAAAGCTTCTTTTGTAAAAGGAAGTTTAAATCAGGAGGACCTGCACAAGGCCTGACAGAAAACAGAACTATCTAATATCTAATCTTACAATGTCAAGGAATAAAGTAAACACTACTTTGAATGACGAAAATAAGACAAAATAAAAAAACTTCTCAACAGAGAAGTCACTACTCTGGTCTAGATTATCTTGCTGCTGTTGTTCGGTGCCATCGAGATGGATCTGACTCTGAGCTGACCCTCTCGTGGGTTTTCAGAAGCTATAAATCACGTTGGAGGAGAGTGCCTATCTTTCTCCAGCAGAGCAATAGCTGGTGAATTTAAACCACACGTGTTAGCTGGTCAACTCCTTATGATGAGGCTATCTACCTAGGTTATCTTATTAAAAAAAAAAACAAGGCTGATTTCAGTTTTCAAGTCAGGTGTGTACTCAAGAAATAATACAGCTGTTATCACAAAGAATGGAAAATGAACTGACCAATCCTTTGCTTTTAAATACAATAAACAGTTGTAGATGTCAGAAGACTTTCATTTTTAAAATCATACACTTCTATACTATTTAAAGATTGAACTGGTTTGTTGGGTTCCCCCCCCAATAAAAAATAATCAATTTCAACCATATAAATAAATCCTAATTTGTTGTTGTATACCATCGAGTCAGAAATGACCCATAGCTGACCTTCCATTAAGTTTTCATATGTAGTTAATCACATGGGAGGAGATGCCATCTTTATCCTGTGGTGCAGTGAGTGGATTCAAACCTCTTATCTTTGTGCTACCAACACAACTCCTTACCACTATGCCACCAGAGCTACCTAAATGATTGATTACGTTCAGGCCTAAAGTGGTTAGTGAAAAGACCAATTCTTTTTGCAGCAATTCCAAATCTGTACTTTAAAGGTAACAGCAAACAATTATCAACATTATTACAGGAATTTTAATCTTTAATCTCTTTGTTCTACAACAGGAAATCCAACTAAATCAGTCTTCTCACTTTCTGATTTTAACTAGCTAAATTTTCAATGTTCAGGCTTTTCTGTGAGATTCTCTCCAGTCCCCAAATAACCACCAATTTCATTTTAGTTCATCTAAATCCTAACTTATTTATAGTTCTTCCTCTTCCTTAAGGCTTCCCCAAACCCCCCTATCCACTTGTTCACTGAAACACAATAGGACTTATAAACTGTAACACAGGATCTACAAGAGCAGTGATCTGTGGTACTTAAAATAGATGTTTTCAGTCTTAACAATAGAGTTCCTCCAGACCTGTGTCAATGTAAAATTTCTCTTATATGCTAATTCACATTTAAAAAATTTGACAACAAATAGCTCTCTAGCTTTACAGGGTGGTATTCACTTCTAGCAAAATTCATACAAATAGTATCTAAAGTCCCTTTTCTGCTGTCAACATGCTAGCACATCAATTAGACACATTTAATTTTAGATTATACAAGCATGTACCTTAGTCAACTGAACTCTGAAAAGCTATGACTCACTCTAGGAAAGAGCTGTCAGTATAAAAGATAAAGAACATTCATGCCTCCACACTAAAATACTAAACCCACTGCTGCTAAGTCAATTCTAACTCAAAGTAATCCTACAGATGCAAATTTAACTCTTAAAGAGTTTTTCCTGGACCTTAAAATGGTTTAATAAGCAAAAAAATTACACAGACAACTTTAGTGGCCAATGGAAGGAACTACTGTACAATTGTTGTTGTTGTTGTTGTTGTGTACCATAGAGTCAGAACTGACCCATAGCTGACCCTCCAGTGGGTTTTTAGAGGCAGTCAATGGCACAGGAGGAGACTGCCCATCCTTCTTCTTCAGAGCAGCTGGTGGCTTTGAACCACGTGCCTTTGGAATTGCAGTGTAGCTCCTTGTCACTAGGCCACCAGAGGACATTATTATTGGAGAGAGTTTGAGCCAAAGGCAAAAAAACCAAAGTAAGAACAGTACAAACAATAGCAAATAAATGTTCCTACTTACTTCTTTCTTCTTTTCCCCTATTAAACTCAAACTCCCTGTCACTGAGTCGTTTGGAGTCATAGCAACCCTCCATTGGGTTCTCAAAGCTGGAATTCTCAAAGGGAGATGTTTGCCCATGAAGCCACTCGGTTAGCAGTGCCTCTGGGTTAGAAGTGTAACTCGCTATGTATCTAAGGTCACCAGAGCTTCCTTTTCCTTCTACTGCACTTGAATGAAGGGGAGGAAAAGTTAACATACTATTTCAATATTGTCCCACCTACCAAAAAGTGCCTACTCATTGCAAATCTAAATTCATTAAGGGTGAGCAAACCAAAGACTACCACCTTAACTGCACAGATCTGTGTCCTGATCACTCACTGCTGTACAGCCAACCCTCTATAGGGTTTCCAGAGACATAAATCTTAACAGGAACGGAATGCTCATCTTTCTCCCACTGGTGGATTAAACCACAAGTGAGGCAGCTTTTGGTTCACACCACAAAGCCCAAGGACATTGGTTTGCATTTTCATTATGTTTAGAGCTACTTAAATTTCTTGGTTTTGTTTTACACTAGTTTTGAAAAATGTCTCCAAGTTTTTTAAGAGTGCTGCTGCTGATCACACCACTGACAGCAAACATATCTCTAAGACGTTCAAGATGGTTTCAGGGGGGAAAATATCATGACGACATCTATCTCCAATCATTTCAGAGCTCACACTAAGGTGCAACTTTACTTTGAAAAGCATTTGCTTTTTATTCATTATTAAAATGTCACCTTTGTTTTGAAAAGCAAAGTGTTTCAACTCCTGGTTACCCATGCTGCTGGCAGTTTATTACCAAATAAAGAAAACACATGAAAACTTTAAAGCACATCTCTGTGTAAAATGCTTAATTTGTAAACAAATCTAACAACTCCTTTGAATATTTTGCTTTAAGATGATCAGCGAGCTTCCTCAATAGAAGGTATCCACAATCACTCTAACACATTACAAATGTTTTATAAACATTTTATCAACTAAGAAACAATATTAACTAAATAACTGACATCTTATTGCACTTAAAAAAAATCCTAATTGACATGTATTCAAAACGGATTTATAGCTGACCCTCTAATGTGTCTTCAGAAGCTGTAAATCACATGAGAAGAGACTGCTCATCTGTTTCCCTCAGAGCAGCTTATGGATTCAAACCACCCATCTGTGAGAGGCAGGGTAATTCCTCATCCACTAGGCCACTATTGTTATTGTTGAGTACCACTGAATTAGAAGTGACCTATAGTTGAGCCTCCAGTGGGTTTTCAGAGGCAGTTAATTGCATGGGAGGTGATTGTTCATCCTTCTTTCATGGAGAAGCTGGTGGATTTGAACTGCATGCCTTTGGGATTGTAGAACAACCTCTCACCAGTAGGCCACTGTTGTTGTTAGGTGCCATCGTATCAAGTACCACTCATAGCCACCCTATAGAACAAAAGATCTGAACCTAGTCCTGTCCTGTGGCCATCCTCACACTTCCTGACACACAAGAGCCCACTGTAGCAGTCACTGTGTCCAGGCACCTGGTTGAGGGTCTTTTTCTTCTTTGATGACCCTCCACCCTTCCCAACATCATGTCCCTCTCCAAGGAACAGCACCTCCTAGCAATATGTCCAAAGTACATGAGGTGAAGTCTCATCATCCTTGCCTACAAAGAGCACTCCACTACACCCTCTCCAAGACATATCTGTTCATTCACTTGGCCATCCAAGGGATGTTTAGTGCTCTTCTCTAACATCACAGCTCAAGGCGTCAATTCTTTTTCTGTTACCCTTATTCACTGCCCAGGTCTCAGATGCATAGCTAATAACGGGAAACAGATGAGCTGTGGGATAATATCAAGAACATCATCCACAAGGAAAGCAAAAGGTCATTATAAAAACAGAGGAGAAAGAAAAATCAGTAGGCCACTAGAGCTTCCTTAACATTTCCAAATGCTCTGAAAGCATATGAATAAAGATGTCATCAGTTAACTTCACCACATTTTCTCTCAGATCAGGTACTAAATAAGAAGTTTCAGAACTATCCAAATTTATTTTCTCAGTCAAAATACAAAGAAAAGTTCTAATGTCTTATTTCCAACAGATTTGAACCCCCTGAACTAATATCCATATTTTGGAGGCCACAGGTCCAAGGCCCTTGCCTTTAATATCAGTCATAATTAAGACTATAAGCAGCTAAGAGAAGAAGCCATGACTTCTATTTCTCTTATACACAAGATAAAAACTCAATTTAAAAGCTGAGGGAGGCAGGATCACTAATGGTTAAGGGAAAGTTTCTCAATCTTGGCATTGCTAACATTTTGGAACTGGTAATTCAGTGTGTGTGGCAGTGTGGTGCTGTCTTGGACATTTAGCATCCATGGTCTCTATCCAGTAGGTGCCAGGAAAGCAGGACTAACAATGTTCCCTGGGGCAAAATCAGACCCAGCTGAGAAACACTGGGAAAAATCAAAGCATAAAGAACACTCATTGGCTTTGTTCAAGAACATCAACATAGAATTAAAGGGAAAAATGATTTTATATTAAAAATCAAGTAAAATATTCTTATCTAAATATAACTTAGTAAAAATATTATCATTTTAAAAATCCTAAAGATTCATATAAATCATATTAATATAACACTGTAAAAACTGGACTTCTGTTGTCATTACTACATCCCATTGAGTTGCCTGCAACTCATAGTGACCCTATCCAAAACAGCTCTGAACCCTGTCCTATCCTGAGCCAATCTCACAGATTCCATAAGCCCAATTACTTTACCAGTCCTCTCCTGCACTGTCCGTCTATCTTCCTAAGCTTCCCAAGTCCTTCTCCAAGGACTGGTCCCTCCTGGCCACGTGCCCAAAGTATGTCAGGAGGAACTTCTGAATCCTTGCCTCTGAGGAGGAACTTAGTTTCACTCTCTCCAAGAATGACCTGTTTATTCTCTTGGCAGTCCAGAGTATATTCAATAATCTTCAGCATGACACCTCAAAGACATCAATTCTTCTTCTATCATCCTTAGCCGTTTTCCAGCTCTCTGATGCATAGCAAGTAATTGTGAAGACTATGGCCTGGATCAGATGCACCTTAGTCTCTAGACTGACGTCACTGTTCTTCAGCACTCTGGAGAGGTCCCTGACAGTAGATGTACCTAATGCAATTCGTCTTTTGATTTCCTGACTATTGGCTCCAAGAGTGTTGACTGTGGAACCAAGCAAGCTGAAACTATTAACAATCTCAATTACCTGGCTTAAAATTTCTCCTCTGCATTGTTAAATGCTAAAAAACAATGAATAATGGTCACATCATTTCTAAGAAAATGTTGTCCAGGTAGTTTGTCTTTGTTATATGAAAGTTACTTAAGATACTAAGACTTACTGGAACTTAGACCTTTTCCAGATAATTATTTAAATACACACATCAACATTGTTATAAATAGGGCAAAGGAATCCAGAAACAGAAATGTCATATAAAAAGTATGGGGAAGGGGGAAGGGTTTGTGTGGGGAGAAGGGTGCAACAATGAATGAATGGAATCCCAAAATCTCTGTAGATGTTCACTGAAATGAAAAATAAACAACCTAAATTAAAAAAAAAAACACCAAAAGAAGTTGGAAAAAAAAAAGTATGTCATAAAAGGATATCTACTAAAATGTGTATGAGGATCCAAGGGGGAAAGGGAGAGCACTGGGGTGAGGATGGATGGAGGGCATAATCATAGGGTCATACAATTTGATGGGTGGAGGGCGAGGTGGCTTAAGGAAATGGAAAAGATCTAGTGTAAGAAAAAAAATGTATATGACTTTTGTAAGTAAAATAAAAAGTAAAAAAAAAAGGATATGGAATTAAAAAGCTTAAAGGAGTAACATGTCATCATTGTGGGGAGGGAGGACGGACTAAATTTGACCTAGATATTCATATCCTGTTTGTAGAAACTGAGGAGGACCTGAAGCATTTGCTACAGACAGTCAAGGAATACAGTCTTCAGTATGGATTAAAGCTCAACATCAAGAAGACAAAGATTCTTACCCCTGGGCCAATTGGCATCACCATGCTAGCTAAAAGAGACTGAGGTTGTTAACAGTTACAGCTTGCTCCACTCCACAATCAATACTGTTGGCACCAGCAGTAAGGAAATCAAAGATGAAATCCTCTGGGGATAGCTGCTGTCAGGGACCTCTCCAGAGTACTGAAAAGCAACTATGTCAACCCAGAGACTAAGTGCCTGATTCAGGCCATGGTCTTTTCAATTACTTGCTATGCATTAGAAAGCAGAACAATGACCAAAGATGACAGAAGAACCAATGCCTTTGACTGCCAAGAGAACAAGTAGGATGAAATCAGGATGCTCCTTGTAGTCAAGGATTTTGAAGCTCTGCTCACATACTTTAGGTATGTTGTCAGGAAGGGTAGAGGGACACTGCAGGAGAGGAAGATCCCAGATGAGTTGGACTGGCACATAACTGGGCTATTGGGGTAAGTATGTCGGAGTCAGTGAGACTGGCTCACGCCAGGGCAGGGATCTGAGCTACTGTGCTCATCACTCTGAGTCACAGGTAACTTAAAGGCACATAACAACCACATACACATGGAAAGCTGTCAATGACATAATGTTAAGTTGTAGAACAGAATGTAATATATGACTACATTTGCGTGTGTGCTTATGTGTGTGTATATATTATCGATATGTACAGGTGTATGTTGACTAAAGTCCGTCTGGCAATGTTTGATCACATGTTTTGATCCCATAAGGTGTTCTTTTTGTTTTTAAAAATAGGGCAGTAGTTCTTCTTTTGCTTATTATTTTCTCCTATTGGTTTAAAAAGGGAGCTCTAGAGGCTTAGGAGTAAAGAACTGCACTGTCAACTCAAAGGTCTGTGATTCGAATCCCTCAGCTGCTCCAGGGGAAAAAGATGGGCAATCTCCTCCTGTGCAGTTCACTGCCTCTGAAACCCACTGGAGGGTGAGCTGTGAGTCGGTCTCACTTAATGGTACTCAACAACAGGAATCCTGAGGGAGTTCTGGTGGCCTAGTGGCAAGAAACTGTGCTGTAATCCCAAAGGTGCACAGTTCAAATCCACCAGATGCTCTGCTGGAGAAGGAGGGGCAACCTCCTGTGCCAGTCAGATCCAATTCAACAGTACACCAAAAATAAATTTAAAAAAAATAAATAAAAGGAATCCTGGTACTTGCATGAAACACAATGTATATGAATAATAATAATTAAAAAAGGAAACCTAGAACAGCTTTGTGGCATAGTGGCAAGAAGTTGCGCTGTAATACCGAAGGCATGCAATTCGAATCCACCAGCTGTTCCATGGGAGAAGGATGGGGAATCTCCTCTCATATGATTAACAGCTTCTGAAACCACACTGGAAGGTCAGTTGTGACAGGATGGTTTACAGTGAGAAGCTGAATATAAAATTTAATATTAATAATAAACCAAATGCTATGTCAGGATAGGAGGGAGGCTGAAACAAGCCGGAATTCACCCTGTAGCACTAAGGCAATCCTTAAATGTTTACAGGGATATTAAGGCAAACCTTAAGCTTCTACATAATTCTTAGTTTGTATTTACTAAATCCCTCCCTCCTGAGATAAGCATAAGATAAACAATAGAGAAGAATTTGGCCTTATTTACAAAAGACTTCCCCATGATCCTTTGTTTTTATTTACTACTCCGTTGTCATTTTCCTTTGTTTACTTCCTGATACAGTCCTAGCATAGGGGCTTCGTTCTCCCAGTTGTTAGCCCCCTGTCATAATGCTTTCTTGCCTGACCCCCATTCCTGTGTGTCCCTGTCTGTCTTTTCCCTCGGTTGAAAAAAGTACACAACAACAACAGATAACTTCCCGTTAGGAGGTACAGGGGAGATATAGAACCAAAAAAAAAAAGGGAGACCTAGTGGCATAGTGTGTCATGTGTCAAAAGGTTGGTGGTTCAATCTAAAAGGCAAGATATTCTCCACCTGTAAACATTGATAGCTAAGCAACACCATGGAGGGTTGCCCTATGTCAGAATCTACTTCAGCGCAATGGATTTGGTTTTGATTAGTTTTCATTTCTGGCAATAAGAACCCCTAGAAGGAATGAGCAATGAGATTCTAGGCTGTATCTCTATCCCTGCAGTGTCTGCACCTCCTCTTGGCTTCACTCACCTATGTGTAGCTTTTAACTTAGTTAAAATGCAGCTAAGTAGTCTTTTAACTCCTGTCCTAGGACAACCTTGTCAAGGCTCCTTCACTCGAGTGGGGAGTGGTGGCATCTGTCAGGGTCGGATACTTGTGGGTTTACTGAGTCCGAGTAGCAGTCCAAGTAACAGATCAGGAACTGGCCACAACTGCAGGGTGGAAACATCCAGGCTGGGCACTGCCAGCCTTGTTCTTGGCACCTGTACCCACCTCTCTGAATGCCTGTACTAACTGTCCAGTGCAAGGCTGACCACCTGTCTTCAGTGCAAAAGCTCTCAGACTTTGTCCAGAATACTCCCATAAAGTTTTTAGACTTTACAGAGATTTAGGTACAGACTGTATGGGAATCACCTGTACATAATATGGTAGCCACACAATATTTAAAGCCACGTCCTATTTTACAGAAGGTATCATGAAATGTTAAGCAACACATACTTCTATCTGCTCCTATATAAAGAAATTATTATGGAAAGAAATATAATCTTCAGGCATTTCAGGCAACTGCAAAGTGCTAAAGAGATGGTGAAAATTCACTTTATATACGGAGTCATTTCAATTTTTCCCCCATCATCATTAAAGAAATTACTCTAAACTACCAACTTTTCAATGCCCAATGAGCAATAAAACAAAAGTTTTAAGACTTTTAATTACCTTATAATATAACCAACCAGATGGTCAGTGTGGGGCAGTACAAACAATGATTTTCCGGAGAGTTCACAAGCATTACACAAAGCTGCAGCCCTTTCTGAAGCAACGACATCTTCTCCTGTTGGTAAATAGCAAAATAAAATTACTATATTCTCACTCACTCATGGCCATAGATTCAGAACCAATTCATAGCTCAAGTGGGTTTTTGGAGGCTGTAAATCACACTGAAAGATAATGTCCATCTTTTTCTTGTGGGGCTGCTAACAAATTGAAACTGACACGAGGTGACACCTTTGTGTGCATCAGCGTCAACTACCTATCTACTATGAAACCAGAGCTCTCTAAAATAATTAATATATTTCCTAAATGAGTATTTCCTCAATTCAGAACACTGTAATTAAAAATAAAAATCCCAAAACAACTATATCATCTCACTCCAGTAAGAACAGCATAATTTAACAGAACAGCAAACAACAAATGCTGTTGAGGTTGTGGAGAAACTGGAACCCTTATTCACTACTGGTGGGAGTATAAAATGGTGCAACTACTATGGAAGGCAGTATGGTCCTTTCTCAAAAAGTTGGAAATAGAAATACCATTTGACCCAGGAATTGCATTACTGGGAATATATCCTA